GGGGTCTTGCTTTGGTGTTGCCACCCCTCATAGACCCCATGCCACCCTAAAAATTATTTTCTAGATCCGCCCCTGCATCCCACTCAGAACTGCTGTTTCTGTCTCATTTTTGACAAGAAATGCGCCATCACGCACTGTAGACTGTATCATTTCATATCAAATGCCGTAGTTATGTCATCAGTTAAGTTATGAAGTTACCAAAAAGGCAATTAAAGCTGCCTTAAAACTATGCGTGTATGTATGTATTTGTTATACGAGTCACATTTAAGAACATGTCTCTGAAATGCAGTGGTTTTACAAACTGTATTGGAGCACCCCAGCACTGTCTCCCTCATCTAACACCCTCGGTTCAACTCAATTCAAGTAGTAGAAACTTTAAGACCTGAAGTGGGTCAGAAAAGGTAAAAAGAGTTGAGAGAAAATATGATGCGCGTCAGATCCGTGTCACGTTCAGCAGCACCAGCTCTTAAAGAAATAACAGCCAAAATAAGCTAATAACCAGCCTCTGTGATGTCTATTAATCAAAGGATAGTGAAAAGAAGAGGAAAAATAACTTTTATAGCTTTAAGGATTCATCTATATTTAATTTAGAATTTAGTGTTTGATAACTTCCATTTTGTATATTGTATATTTCTGCTGAAGGGCACAGGTAAATATGACATTTATTATAATCAGGCCCGTAACCAGGCCACCAATTGAGAGAGTTGCGAGTGAGGGTGCGGGCGCAGCCAGAATCCAGCTATCATAAGCGTTTTTGGACTTGTCTTTTCCACTTAATTTAACACTTTAGAAAGTTAATGAAGTAGGAAGTCACAGTTTAGAGTCAGCGATATCTTTATCTTATCTTATTTGAAAAAGTTTGGAAATAATTTTGGTTTATTTTTATTTATTTTCAGTTTTTTTGTTTGTTTTAGTATCAATATCTGGCAACACTGCATCGCCGGCACTTAAACTTAAAGCAATCAAAAAAGCCCATGGACAGGTATTTGCTGACAGGATACGACATTCGGTAGGGAAACTGGTATGATCATATCATATGAACATCTACATGTCTGTCTCCTTTAAAGTGTTTATAGTGTATATAATGAGTTGTATTTGTGGGTTATTATAACACAATTCTTTAACACCAACCCCCATCATCACATCCCCCCGGCCCTCACTAATTTTCAAAGCCATGATTATAATGGGTTTATGTGAAGATTGTTTAAAGTTCACTTAAATTAGAAGTTATTTTTTAAAGACTAATAAATGTTGAAATTGATAAATCTCAATTATACTGTAATGTTGAATGGCTACAGTCAATGGTTAAATATTAGGAAAAAAAGAAAAATTTCCTAGAGACATCAGTAGTACTGGTATCAGTGATACTCGCCTTCAGTCATAAAAAAAACATGCCACTAAAACAAATATTTAAAATATACTGTCTTTATGTTGTTTCTACATTAAATTGAAGATTGTGAAATTATTGCAATATAGAAGTATATTTAAAAACTTAAATATCTGCTAAACTAAATATCGTTAATCGTGATTCATTTCATAAAAATAATTTTTTTAATTGATTGACAGCACTAATTTAAAGCTAGTGACCTGAGAAAGCAAATTATGGCTAGTTTTTAGTAGCTTACAGTGTAGTATAATTATATATATATATTTCATATATTTATATATAATTTAATTTTTACTTTAATTGTGTAAAATGATTAAAAGTGTAAATGTTCACTGACTGTGGTGGTTTGTAATGTCATCTGTAGTCATTCAGTATCTTGCTGTGCTGTATGTCTGTTTGGCCAGTCGACAGTAATGTCAGACTGACAGTTTTTCATGTCTCTGCTCTGAGGTCCTGCAGGGATGCTGGCCATGATTCCTCTGTCTCAGTCAAAGTGGATGTGAGGTCATTTATGTATTAAGCCAAAAAGCAGGACACCCTCTTCAGTACTATTACTATTACTAATAACAGAGGTTATTCAACCTTACACCCTGCCAGAAAGGAGCTCCCTTGTGGCATTCTCTGTCTAAAAAAATATCAACAGAACTCCTTTGCCCTCCGTCTCAGGGTGAACATCTACTTATGCTTGCTGCCAAATTTATCAGACTCTAGAAGAGTAAATTTGCTGGACGAAAACTCTGAACCTGGTGTCCGTGGTTCCCTGAACCATCTGCTGCATATATTACAGCTGCATAAACCACAATCATTATACATAATTACAATTTATACTTCGTAACATGCGCACATCTGATTGTGCTCAAAGGCAGTTTGGCTCATTCCTGGTTTCAGTCTGTGTGTGGTTTGTGGCTGATTTTGAAAAAGCATAAATTGTCATGATGATGTGAGATTTGACCTCTCTGACTTGCCTCACCTGTGTAGCAGTTGTTTGAGTCAGAGCTGGGATATTTCACCTGCTATGAGACTTTATGTACTGTCATTTAACTGCTTTATGAATCATGAGTTTATAAATATGGAAATTTTGTGTTATTTAAAGATGATTTGTTTCCTTTTTCATTTATTTTTTTCTTTTAGGTGCTCAGATCATTTTGTTTAAAATGTGTTTGCCATTTGAAGTAGTTTTTAACTGTAGATTTTGAGCAGTCTACATAATCATTGGACATATATTCATCATAAATTGACCAATCAAACCTGCCTTCCATGGCAGCATGGCATTTTTTAAGAGCTTCCAGCAAAGTCTCCCCTCCATGTCTGCCGTATTGGAATCGGTGTCAGAAAAGGTTGATGACCTGGCTTATGCACTGTGATGTCACATTCACGGTGAGCGGAGAACTCGCTGAGCATGTCAACACCATCATCCACAAAGTCCAGGCCGAGGAGCTGAAGAGGATTCGTAAGAAGGAGGCGGAAGAGAAGGAGGCTGCAGCATGGCAGGCCCAGGAAAGAGATCCTTTTCTGGGTAGGACTGAAATCCAGACCCAGGCTGCATGTGGCCTAGTGAAGGACCCTGAGCCTCAGACTACAGGCAACGACACCGGTTCACTGCTGTTCACTGAGACTTTCTCTACAGAAAGCGACCTCTCACAGGCTCCTGACACACTGAAAGAAAAGTTCAAAGTGCAAAATGGGGCCGACTCACTTTCTGTACTACAACAAAATGGATCCTGTGTTATAGAAAGAACTGAGTCCACTAAACTAAAAACATCTAGAAGCCCAGCAGATGGTGGTGAGGAGAAGAAATCTAGTAATAGTGAGAGACCTGCTGAAGGTGAGAGGATAAGGCTGCTGATTTTCCCCTCAGTTATCTGAACCTCACTGGATGACTGTGTCTAAAAAAAGAGAGCCATCATCTTTTCTTTCTTTAAAATCCACCTGGACTCTTTCAAACTGGTCTGGGTCTGTCTGATCTCTTCATCTGGCGGGAATGATCTTTGCTGCGGTCAAAATGCTGCTTCACTTTCCCTCCCTTTTATCTATACGAGAAAACTTGAACTCTCTGTGGTTGCTGACACCTTATATGTATCTCTATTTCATGCTTTTCTCCCTGTCTCTTATTCCTCTTTATGTGTAAAAAATACAGGAGATTTATTATTTATATTTTGGCTAAAATAATATGACTGTATTACCTGAATGCTTATTATGTGAGAATGTTTTCATTGTTAAACTATATCGCCCTCTAGTGTTTGTGCTGAAGATTAGAGTTGTTTTTGGTATGGCAATGTTACAGAAATGCTAAACAGGCATGAGGATATACATTATCTGTAACATAATATACACAGTTTTTTTATTGATTGAATTCCCCTAGTTTAAGAATTTAAATGATACATTATATATAGATCTTTATATTGCACTTTTCTATCATCTTTATTACAAAAGTATATTTATCAAGTCATATTATTTCATAAGTCATTGCACATTTTCTCTTCTTTTGTTACCTTTATTTGGTGACATACCAGTGCTACAATCTATAAATAGGTTGTTGAGAAAAGGTGGAGAACATTTGACTGTGCTAAAACTTTCTCAAATGATTTCTTCTTGTGCTCAAAATTCAAGCGCATGTTCGTGTTGTTTTTAAATTGTCCCCCTTTCTTTCCTCGTTTTCTTTGTCTCAGATAAGAGCTGTGTGAATGCAGACTATCACTGCTCGTCGTCAGACAGTGATGATGAGGTGATTGGCCAGTACCAGGAGGCTGTGTCTCGATCGCAGGGTCTCCAGGGTGGTTCAGCGGGGACTAACTCACACCACCAGAAGGGCTATGGCTGGGACACACGGCAGAAATACTACCCCCTAGCGGCTGAATATGATGGCTACAGCAGCGAGGCCTCAGCAGATGATGGTAAATTTACACCTCACACAAAAAGCTGCTTTCTTTCAGCTCATGAGACATTTATGTGGGGTGAAAGTGGAGTTTAATGCTCATTGTGAAAGCGGAGAGTGATTGTTTTTTGAGGGGTTACTTTTCATTCCAAATTATGTATGCCATGGTTGAATAGGAAACTCTGTGCTAAAATGGGTTTCTAAATGTTTGGGGTTATGTTTTTGAAATAAGTTTATTCTGCTCACCAAGGCTGCATTTATTTGATCAAAAATACTTAAAAAAAACAGTAATGTTGTGAAATACTAGTGCAATTTAAAATACCTGCTTTCTGTTTTAAAATATTTTAAAATGTGAAGGGAAATCTGAATTTACTCCAGTCTTTAGTGTCACATGATCCTTCAGAAATCATTTTAATATGTTGATTTGATATTCAAGAAACATTTCTTGATTTCAATTCTTAACTTTTCTTTTACATTTACATTTAATTATTTAGCAGACACTTTTATCCAAAGCGACTTACAAATGATTATTCTTGATTATCAATGTTGAAAACAGTATTTTGTTTGGAAAGTAACTTTCATAACATTATGTTTTTAATGTCTCTTTTGATCAGTGTAATGTGCCCTGCCCTTGCTGAATAAAAGTATTGATTTCTTAATTAAAAAAAAAAAAATCGCACTGACCCTACAATTTTGAACAGTAGTGTGATGTGTAAGTATGATTTGTGTATGATATGTATGATTTGGCATCTGTGATGCCTGGCCAAAGCAAGTAGTATGGAACCCACATAAAACCATGCTTTTCCATTACATTAGATGGCGCTGCTCAACTACTTATATTCTGCTTAGGGATGTTTGTTTTTCACAGGAATTTTGGCGTCACTCAAATTTTATTTTATTTTTTTAAAGAACAGTCAGTAACAGACACTGTAGAAAAATCTGAATGAAACCTGTTTTCAATAAAAATGACTGTGGGTTGCTCTTTCTCTGGCATGAGTGATTCTTACATAGAGCAAAGGGTTTAGATCATGAGATATCAAATGAATCAGGACAGTTCTGGAAGAACACATTTTTGTGTAAGAAGCCAGAACACGCTTTTTCTCCTTTCTTATACACAAACACACTCTCTTCCACCACACATTAGTTTAACTCACACAGCTACAGTATAAAGAAAGATGAGAGAACAGAGTAAGAGAGTTTTTGGCTCTGTTCTGCTTCTCACGGAAAAGGAGATTATCATGTTATTCTGTGTTTTGGATGACGATGACGGTCTCTGCTTTTATATCCAACAGATACAGGGCTGTAAGATGATTTTTGTACTTCCAGTTGCCTATTTCAGTTGTCTGCAATTTGTGCTGGAATCATTGCAGTTACTGCCATAAACAGAGTAGAGAGATTACAGAGGGCTATGAAGAGAAAGAATGAAAATGTGTCAAAGGGAAGGGCTGTCAGAAACAAAAAAGCAGGAAGCTGGTGGATATGTCTCTCTGATTTCCCTCTCTGTTTCTGTGAACTACTGCACAGAGAGACAGATAGAGCTGCATGCTTTTCTCGTGAGCTGTTTTCCTGGAGGCAGGAGAGGCTGTAGCCTCAGGCCATCTGTATAATACATGAGCTAACACACACACATTTACATATACACTTACACACTCATATTGCTTGACTGCTCGCAAACACATAAAAAACACACACAAAATCATGCTGTGCAGACATACCGACATTCTTATATTCATACCTAACAAGTGAACTGAGTGTTTGTTAACTTGAAAATTAAGTTAACTGAGCCGTAAATGTCTTGTTACTAATCGCTCAGTGAAGTCCTGATGATACTGAATTTTATAGCTATGGCATGCATATATTCTGGCATTCTGATCAAATTGAAACATGAGAGATGTTTGACATGAGAGTTGATCAAAACATCATTGAGATATAGACACACTCTCTCATACACACAGACAGACATTTCTCTTGCTCTTGTTCATAGCCGCAGGTTGAAAATGCTGCAGTGTTTATGATCAAAGATGTCATTCAGCATTGAGGCACAGAAGGCGAGCGGACGTGCTCCTCCATCATCTTAATCATAGTGATGTTTCTTTCCTCCATCCTCATTCAAAGTGAAAAGTTTCCATCTTTTGTACTGTCATATCTTGATGCTTCTCTGTTTTCGGGTTATGAAATGTTTAAAACAAAGAAATGTTGTGATGTAAAATGAAGAAGTAATATTTCTGATTCTGCTCTATTTCTAGGTCATAAAGTAAATTTGTGACATTGATCATGTGAACTTCAGATGTTCTTGCATTCATTGAAGCACAAGATGCTCTTTGTATTATTCTTAAATCATGCTGGAGATCATGCATCAGCAGTTGGATTTACATAATCAGCTCAAGTGCATACTGTCATTAAAGCATTAATAATAATAATCATTTGAAAAGTTAAACTGCAAAAACTGTTTATTGTTTTTGTTGTTGGTAATAACTTAATAACTTGTTGTTGTTGTTGTTGTTGTTTAATTCATAATAATTATAGTTGTCGTTTAAAAATAATAGCAATAATTTTTATTAAAAATTGTATTATCAGCATAATCTGAAACTGGGAAATAGATTAATAATAATAATATAATAATAATAATAATTTAATCATTTTCATTACAAAATGTATTATCAGCATAATAATTTGAAAAGTTAAGCTGCAAAAACAGTTGTTGTTTTTGTTGTTAGTAATTGTTGTTGTTTATGAATAATAACAATAATTTGTCATTTTTATTACAAATTGTATTATCAGCATAATTTAAAACTGGGAAATAGATTAATAATAATAATAATGCTTTATTATCATTATTATTCTAATAACAACTATTATTGTTGTTATTATTATTACAGTTTTCGATTATTATCCTAATATTCCAATTAGTAACAAAAGTTATTATATTAAATGAGAAATAATAAAAAATATTATTACTGAGAACTAACATCTAGGACGTGAGGGAGTTTAGAGAAAGGGGATAACTAATCCCCCACTTGAAAATTCACAGCATCAGCAATGTCTCTTCCCAATAGTCAGAACCAGTTACCCCAGCCACACTCCAACAGAAGCGTGTGCATGTGTGTGAGAAAGAGAGAGAGAATGCGCTGTATTTATGAGATCGCTAAATCTTCCTGTCCTGACCAGCAGCATGTTACTATGGCAACAGCCACTTGGTTCATTCTCTTTACAGAGCAGTTTAACTTGTAGAGTGAATGCAGGTAAATCAGGCCACGTTTTGCCATTCATCTCAATTTCAGAGTCTCACAGAGCCGCTAGAAGCATCAGCATATCCCCTAAATTTCTTCATTTTCTGCATTTGAAATGCTGAAACACACTGATTTGTTTAATTTAATCATACGCATACACATGCACAGTGATTTGTAGCTCTTGGAGGACAACTGAATGATTTATGAAGATGCAGGTGTAAGAGATAGTCTTACTACACTGTAAAATCAGGCTTTGACCTTTCTTGAA